TTTCAGAAAAAGTGGAACCTATATCTTCAAGGAACGATATGCAGGTTTGGATTAAATATACGTTCAAGCAGTCGGTCTATTAAGTAAGCAGCATTCTTACTCGATAACCATTATCTGGACTTATTCCTATCAGTTTCTTTATCTTAAGTAGTCACATCACCCTACGCAGCCTAGATTTAAAAGAAGAGAATTTTGGAATTAAAATCTTCTAACTAAGATCACTTATGAAAGCAAAAATTACTTTTGAAAATGATGACCACAACATCGAAGGTCGCAGCAAAGAATACAAAGAGTTTTTGCAAGAAATTCATTCCTTCATCTCATTTTCTTCCGGCCAGTTAAGATTAAATTACGAAATGTTTCACTTACAGTTAGTGCTTTTGTAATTCAAGATATTATTATTTTACACACGTCACTAAAATATGAATTCGAACAGTTCTAATTTGTTCTTCCGAGAATCTTGGACACAGTTTTCTTTAGAAAAAATTGTTCAAAGTATACGGATCTTCATCCCTACAGTAAATTTAGTATTGGTGCAGTCGTGTCTAACAAGACAACAACGGATGAAAACTAACTCGATAAACAGCCTTAACTCAACAAATGCTCAATGATACTTCTTGTAGTTCTTTTAAAGCTTAACGAATATTGGTGAGGATAAAAAGAAGAAACTAAGATTTACCGAGTTTAACTCCTATTGCGGTATTGTGTGTTTGTTCCGCAAAAATTGGAAGACAAATAACTGGAGTCCTGGTGCATATAGCCTCTTTTAAACTAAATTAAATCGTACTTTTTATTGGTAACATAATTATATCATAGAAAATCTAATTTACGTTGTCTTCCTTTAGTTGAACATAGAAAGAGGCACTTTCCATTCCAGCTTAATCCTTGCAAACTACTTTTTCGCAAAAATTTATGCACTGCGTCTACTGAATAGTCAACCAAAATTAAGATTTTACTGTAGAAGAAATAAATATAAGTGATACCTTTTGAGACCGCAATGTGAAATCATCAGCTTCGTATTTGAATGCATCAAAACACTATACTGCGGTGACCATCTTACCGTCCTGACGTATGGGGAAAGCGAGTCAAATTCAAGGTTGTCTGTCGCAAAAAGCACTCTGTAACTTATAAACTGATGAAACAATGACCGCTCAAGTATAAATTACAGTGTCAACCTGGTCATAACTTAAAAAATGCTCTTTTTTAAGTAACTAGTTCTTTCTACAAACCTATATCCCTCAAGTCGTGTTAGAAATGTTTTGAAAGACTGAATAAAAGTTTTTGGAGCAAACGACCATTTAACATTGGTGCCAAAAGCGATATAAACAGTTCCATTAGGCCCTGATTTATCCAAAAAACTTTTAAGTTCGTTTGGGAGTTCTTGAGCTGCAGGGCAGTGAGAACCAACGTAAACCAGATCTGTCGACACTGAAATAATTAATCTATCGATCAACAACGAAAATCTCTCTTTTTGCATCGTAAATGAGGTCGGAAGTAAAACTTTCTGGGTCGCGGGTAGGCAAGAAAGTTCAGCTCTTCCAGGAAAATAAACGCTGCATTGGACCATGCCTCAGTAAATGTAAAATTTTTGACGCCAAGCATTTTAACTCCCTAAAATTATATTACAGTACACTTAACTGTCAAAATTACTTCTGTATATTTTATCTATGATTCTGTACTAAACTTATTCGCACTCCTCAAACCGGTATCAGATTTTGTTCACAGATCTCTAAAACTGGGAAGAAAGCCTGAGAGAATTTTTTAATAAGTTATGCCTTATTGCAATGTGGAAATTTTCCCAGGTTTCTGCTAAAACTTTTTTTAGAATCCACAACTGTCTTTCATTCTTTTGGAAAATTAGCTGGTAGAATCGTTAATAAAATTAGTGATTTTTAGTTCTACAATTTCATGCACAATTTACATGCTTTTCACAAGATTTTTAAAGTATAACAGAAATTAAAATTTACAAATAAGTTGCAAAAAAAATACACCCATATGTCGAAATAAATATTTTGTGAAAAACTCGCCGCTTTAAAAAATAAAAGAATTTCTTGAATGAAACTTTTATGCAATAGAAAATAGCAGCAGCTAAAGTGAGAAGTGGAAAAGTTCATAACACTTTGCGCAAATTCTGTGCAGTGTCAGAATAAAAAAAATGCCATTTTTGCAATTAAATACGAATATTTCAAAAGTGTATGTAAAGACGACAATAAAAACTCCCAGGGAAAATCAACTGTTAAATCAAAAAGCGGAAAAAGCTGTTTTTCACGTGGCACAATGTTTATGAATTGCTATACAAAAAAAAAAAAAAGTGAAAATTTGTCACTCACCTATTCGCTCAAAGATATTTCTCACTAATCAGCTGATTCTCGTAAACTTTCACTTTTTGAAGATTTGATTGAATTGGTGTTTATTGTCCGGTGCTAATGGTTTATATTCTGATTTTATTGGATTGCTCCGGACCCAAGACACAAAGTTTTCAAATTTTTTGTTAAAAAATGCAACTAATTTTGTTCTAACTTAAGTTCATGCTCATGTACCCTACACTTAAGTTTTAATTGAAAAAACCAGCTGAACAGAAAAATTTGAAGAAAATTTAGCTGGTTTTTTTTGCATATTCTGAAATTTGTTGATTTGACTTCTGATATTACAAAAGCCGCGCCCAGGATTTTTCGTTCTCTTGCAATGCAGGTAATGCTTTTTTTATTTCGGAGTTACATGTAGCCCTTATTTACGAATTTAATGCTTTTATTTCTTTTGAAATTTTTTGCTGATAAATGTATGAATATATATCATTTTAAGTTTAGAAATGAAATGACTTTCGATAAGAAATTTCACAATTCCGCTACCAAAGAACGATGTCACAAACTGTCAAAGAAGCAGCATCTAAGTAAAAAACTGGAAAATTGTCATGCCTTTTTGACACCATGACAGCTTCCTAAACCTATGGGCAAGGCCTATTAGTCAGCAAAATTTTAAAAAGTTCTAATTATTAACCAAAAAAATTGTTGATGCGACTAGCGACTAACTGTTTTTTAATTCTGTACCATTGTCTCCTCTGTAATGTGCCTACGGGTCCCGCAAAGTTGAATTCTAATAGAAATTCTAAACTGAAGTACTCAGAAAAATAATTTAAAGAAACATTTTCAAAGGAATTCCCAGTCAAGTTTTCTGTCATTTTTAGCGGCTGAGTATGCCTAACTACTACAGTGCTTTAGTGGTTTAAAAACAATGGTAAACTTGTTTGTCAACGTACAGTCGTATGGTGATTCTCTACTAAGTACTTCACGGACAATGAGATGATGAAAGACTCGAAAACTGATGTTAAGCGGTGAGTGAATAAAGCAGGATTATGGGATTGGTCATCACCGTAGTAGAACAAAGTGCTTGGAGTTTGTGAAAACGATCTCGCTAAAAATAGCAGAATTATTTTAGTTTTATAAAATGTAATTTAAACTTGTATTACACATAAGGAACTTAGATCTGCTTAAAATTCAATTTCTCCATGCGTTTCCAACTACCTTTTTTTTAAGTTTGACCCTAGATCAAGTACAATAAAGAATTTTTGTAGTTGTCGACGCCCCGATTGTTTCAAATTACATTACTAGGACCACTAGCCGTGCAGCATTAGTTATCGGAAACGCTCAGGATAACCTAAATCACAAATTGTGCAACAGCTTAAGGTAGTAATACCGAGAGAAAGCTCCCAGTTGAATAGACACATCGTAAGGGTTGTACTGAACATCATGTATGGTGTTCCAAAATTCCTCCAGTTTCTAAGAATAAGCCCATAACTAGTCATTGAAAACAGTTCATCGGAAAAGATAGCATCCCAACTAGTATTTAACATGATGTCAACCTGCAAAGTCTGCGTTTGATTAAATTTTTTGAGCCAAAAAATTCGGGTAAGCAGCAGAAGTAACAACATGCTAAAAGTTAGAAATCTGTATTTATTAGTAGCTTACCTGTTCTTGACTTGTGTGGAAAATCTGTTGTAACACATTGTCACCATAGCGAAACGTGGTAGCAACGTTCTGAGGAAAGAAAAACATACAACAATTAACAGTATCTTAGGCACTTTTTCATTGAAAATTAGCGCAAAAATTCTTAAGTTGCTTGTCCCCTACACGGTTTAATAAAAAACCCAGTGGCTAACAAATTACTTCTTCAATTCTTTTATCAATATTTTTTCTTTGTTAAAAACCGTGATTTTGAACTTTGATTTCCAAACATATAGTTACTTGCACAAAACTTTGAAAAGGCAAAAGGTTTTCAGTAAAGAAAGAAAACGCAAGTAGAAAGAGGTTCAAGAAACTGAAAAATGTTCTTTAAAAATACCAGGCGTTTCAGAGAATTAGTCCACATTTCGGCTTCCCGATTACTAAGGCCTGTAGTTTCCCCCAAAGATATCGTAATGTTTTTAATGCTTTTTGGAAATTTGAATGGGACTCTGTCAGTGGTTTCAAAAAAATATATTTCATGGCCAGCGTTATGTAACCTTCAACAATAAGTATCTATAAGCTAGAAAAAAAATCATCAGACAAAGTTTCTGCATATTTATTATTTCCTTTACGAGTTGTATTATGAAAGTTAAAGCGA